TCTAAGTTTCAGTTGTTTTCCTTTTCAATTGAAATAGTTTTTTTGGTGAGATCTTAATCTGATTTAAGAACAGTATCACATAGAAATCAATCTCTGAATAGGTCATTAACAATGTATAAGAACATCCTTAAAAGAAAAGTAACATAAACTTAAAGAAAGTTCACACAATCGTGTTTGTCCCACTCCATAAAACTTAAAACTTATTGCTGGAAGTGTTACCATTGAATTGTTCATTTGCTATTGATCTTCATGCTTCATCAGTTACATCCACATGTATCCTATGAATGTGATAGCCGAACCTGGGAAATAGTTAGAATACTTTTAGCAAATGTGGGGTTTAATATGCGTCTGTTTTACTCTATTAAGCAAGTAGTGTACATAAAACTATAGAGAACTTAATATTACCTTGTGCTTTGATGCTCCCACATTATCTGACTCGATGTTAATCAGATTATATTTTGGAAAACTTCCTTGAAAACAACGTTTGTTGTTTGTTTCTGAATTTTCCCCTCTTTGTCTAGAATTATTATTTTCAATCCTTTCTTCGATGTAACCCGAGATAACGCAACATATAGCTGGCCATGAGAGAAAACGGGTTTACGCAAGTAGAGACCTACATGTTCTAGAGATTGTCCCTGACTCTTGTTGATGGTCATAGCAAATGCAACAGATAGGGGAAACTGTCTTCTACGCATCTTAAACGGCAGCTTTGTATCTGAAGGTGTTAGGTTTATGTTTGGAATCAAAACAATCTCACCACTTCTTTCGCCGGTTATTACTCTAGCTTGAACTATATGAGTAGCTAGCTGAGTAATCTGTAGCCTTGTTCCGTTGCATAGCCCACCTTTAGGGTCTATATTCCTTAGCAACATCACCGGTGCTCCAATCTTCAATCGCAATGCGTGGTGTGGCATCCCGGACAGTTTGATAGAGTTCAAAAAATCTGGAGTGATTACAGGATTCGTTAATGAATCTGAATCTGTCGGATCTATACTATCTGCACTTAGATAAATCCTTTCTTCACCTACCATTACAAACAATCAATGTGTTAAGTAAAGGTTTTAATAAATTCTATATTTGGAGAAAAATAAAGAATAACTGCCGTGTATTAGTTTCCTTACTTTCTAAATGTTCCAGCATGTACTCATTGATTGTGTTGACATCGTCATTTGTTGGAGCTAAAATTGCTCGCTTTTGAAAGAATTTTGGCTCAATTATCTCGTGCAGTTTAGTTGGATCTCCATAAACTTCTCTAGTAATTGCTTCAATAGGATTCAGTGCTTCTGTTATCAACAAATCTTCTGGGATATCGATAAGTGCCTCACCGTCATTAGGCTCATTAATTCTACCATCACCAACAGCTAATAACCAATCAGAAAACTGCTGGATTTCTGTTGCTTCTGCGGCACTTAAGTTGCCAGATAGGAGTCTCATGTTTTTGGTCAGCTTTAACACTTTGCAATGATCCCAAAGATAAGAAGCATTTAGTGCAGACATCACTATTTCTGCCCTTCCTGCTCCTATTATTACTGGAAGAACCTGCCTAAAATCGCCTCCAAACACAACAACCTTACCACCAAACACCTTGTTGTCTTTGTTCTTGATAATATTCGAGAAGCTCTTATCTAAAGCTTCGAAACAAAATTTGCTCATCATAGGCGCCTCGTCCCAGACAATAAGTGAGGCTTCTTGAATCAAAGAAGCTAAATCAGATTTTGGCTTAATTTTGCAAACAGCAAATTCATCTGGATTCAACGGAATTGCAAACCTAGAGTGTGCTGTTCTTCCTCCTTCTAACAACAAAGATGCTATACCACTCGATGCCACATTTAACACAATCTGTCCTCTAGATCTAATAGCAGCTGCAAGTGTTTTCCATAAAAATGTTTTCCCTGTTCCTCCAAATCCGTATACAAAGAAAACACCGCCTAAATCATTGAATACAGCACCTGTGATTTCGTTGTATATACCTCTCTGTTCAGTTGTTAGCTTTTGAACCCATTCAGAATGTTTCTCTTCCAAGTCGTCTCGATTATATCTCATCTCATCAACAATTAATCGGTTGGAGTTGTCTATACCTTCTCTTGAGGGCTGAGGAAAATTTTCAATGCCTTTGAGTGTTCCACCATTGAACAACATAATCTTCTCTATTTCCTGAAGAGTGTAGTTCTTCATCTCAGCTTCAGTTAGTGTCAGATCTGTGGAGACATTTAAAATGAAAGTAAGCGTATTAAATCGTTAAAATCAAACATATTTACGTTAGCTACAAATAGAATGAACACGTTAGTATATTATTATCCTTACATGGGTTATTGAAGTCTTCTTGCTTTTTTTTCTCAATATCTTGGCTTAACAATTGCCAAGTCTCTGCCCATACGTGCTCCGGTCTAGCTAGAGAATCTGATAAAATCAGCATTGCAAAAAAATTTCTCAGATAGTCCCCAAAACAAAACTGCCCAGCTTTGAGTAGACTATCTATGAACACTTGATCATCATCCAAAATTCCACGTGCAAAACATGCTTCTTTGTAAGTTTTATATACTACACCATTGTATTTTTTGATATCGTCAAATGTCATTGGACCTCTGACAATATTCAGCAGCACCCGAAGATAGTATTCATCTTCCATTTTCCTAGGAACGTAGTTAATACGACCAAATGAAAAACCTCTTGATCTCTTACTGAACTTCTTATTGGTTCCATCCCAAGTAAAATAAGCTGGAATTTCAGCATATAGAAGGTCTCTTGCACGTTTTCCATTCTTCCCAATAGCATTATTCCTATTCAATGTTAACCAAGCCATGAACATAGAATCTTGGTTGGATATACGTTCAAGGACATCATCAATGTGTGCTTTTGAATCAAAATAAGCAGGCTGCTTCCCTTCATCATGAAAAGACAACCTCTGAACTGGTGTAGATCTATGTTGTAGGGGAAACTTGAAAATTCTCCAAATCGCCTCTGAGGCTGAAACATATCTACAGATATAAACAAAGAGATTCAGTTAAACTACCCACAAATGTAAACATAAAAATACTTTATACTGAGATTTAAACATAAGTACCTGCAATCAAACCAGTCTTTGATTTCGTTCTTCTTTTTCTCAGTTGGACTTGATTCTTGCTCTGTTGTGGCACTTGAATTAGTCGTAGGCTGATTAACAGGCTCGACAATGAATGTTACCCGATCTGGACCTTTGTTTATATACTTGAATAAGTATTTTATAGATCCATTCTGATTGCACCATTCTACGTTAATATGAGCCTGATATCGTAGCGACAACTTCTTGTTATATGGAACCACATACCTATTGTCACATTTGAAGCCACCCTTCTCAACAAAATCATTAGTTTCTCTTCTCCTATAGATAGGGTAACCATCACTACCAACCTTAGTAATCTCTTGATGCTTTTTAGGATATTGCTTTGAGCAGGTTCCTTCAACCATACACGGAGATTTTGGATTTGCTGCACCACATGGTCCGTGTATCATAGAGTTTTTAATTACTTCGTAGAGTTCTGGTTCCGTTTCTTTGTCTGGAATCTCAGCCGAAATAATCTTGTCGATGTCGTCTGCTGTATGCAGTTTACTCTTAGCATCCATGAATAACAAAATGTGAGCATGTGGTAATCCTCTTTTCTGAAATTCTACTGTATACATAGCTGCAATACATGAAGATCCAAATTAGAATAACTTGTGTATAAATTTGAAGTATAAGAATGTAAAATAAAAATGGGCAAGCGCATACATGCCACTGTCTTCCCCAGAAATTTCCTTTCTGTTAGATCTCTCATGAGGGAGTCCAGCTTTATTTTAAACATCCTTGCTACAATATCCGGTCTATCGTCAGCTGTTAACCCTCGTGCTTGGCAATATCTTGTTATCTCTGGCCATTTAGGGTTACATGTGAACGTGATGAATAGGTCCGGGAATCCGTAATGCTTACAAATTGCCATTGCGTCATAATAACTCTGAACCATATATCGAGGACCACCAGTGAAAGAAGAAGGAATCAGAATTTGGTTACCTTCTTCACCCATAGAAGTTGTTCCTGATTCAGCTGCCTTTTTGATTGAGTTTAAATTCTCACAACGAAGCTTTGATTGATTGAATCTGATATACGATAGCCGGTTTGATTCAATGGTGGTATAAGCATCACAAAGAAACTGCTGAAACAACCTCTTTGAACGTAACAAAGTATGGCTCTCGTTTTCCCTCTCGTGTATCCTAAATGCAAACCACTGTCTCATGCTAATAGATTTCTTCTTATTCTTCTTCGTCTTTGTTTTTGCTGGTATCACGCATTTCTCTATTCCTGGCCTATATCCATCTTCACCATAGCAAAATATAAGGGGATATTGTAGTGCTAAGTATGAAATATGAATTTGACTGATCCTCTGTAATTTCCCAGTACTCTTTTCTTGTAAAACAATGTCACGGTCAGGCATCTGTTTCACAAAATCTCCAGGAATTAGAGCAGCCACCTCTGATATAGTAGGCATACTGTATGTCCTCCCATCTACACCCTTGCGATCTGCGACAATACGCATGTGAAACGGCTCATCATTATTAGATTCAAACCTCTCTCTAGCGGACCTGAATATCTTCACATACGGATTGTGGTCGTTTAGCATCTTAATAAGTGCTTCTATAACCTCTTTTTTAAGTTGTTTTTTCCCAGTATTTGGTGCTTGAGAGTTTCCCTTGCTACAATAAGATGGTTAACTGATGAGTTAAGCAATTTAGGTAAACAGGTAAACATTAGCTTTAAAAGTAGTTTCAGTACCTGATTATAGTAGCTCTGTTCTGTACTTCGTTTTCAGTGTCCACTATATAGAGCTGTGAATATTTTGCATAATCACCTAAGTCAGGCTTTAAACTACCAATAAGGTGATAGTTTCCCCCTTGCAAGCGGAAGTTTGTAGGTCCTTTCCCTTGTGTGACAGATTTGTCTACCCTCCCACCAAGTGATGTCATTGCGAAAATCATGTTAAAGATTCGCATATTCTCCCTGTAATGTCTACTGAGAGCATCATCACCACTTAGAAGTTTATTTATCAAATCTGGAGAGTCTTTAAGAAAAGGCAGTTTAACTTGTCCTTGTCCACAACATAGTGTGAACGTAGGTTCCTCATGGTTGCGTCTCTTGTTAATACGCTCATCATACCACATTAGAGCGCCACAATATTTACATTTGTATGTTGCATCACCATGGTCAAGATAAACTGTAAATGAGATTAACATTAGCATGATTATATGATTTGAATGAAATCTCTAATTATTTATATGAGTGTACCTGTTTTGGTGGAGCTGCTTGTAGACGTGCTTGCTTTGCTTTGTAATCTTGGCCGTCCTCCTTTATTTCTGCTTGGTACTTTTTCTTGTACTCCAACATTCTGTTTTGTTCTCGTGACTAATTTCTGAAGTGAGGACATGAACTTAACATGTTGTTGTGCTGCTTTACATTCTTCTGTGATGACAGGTTCCTCCACGTTAGCAGAATCTACTATAGAATCCTTTGGTCGAACTATCATGATAGCATCACTTGTATCATCTTCTGTTTCGTATTCTGATTGACTCAAATAGTATTCTTGTTCCACATCTGTTTCACTTGCATAGAAGCTGTCATTTTCGCTGTGGTGCATACTTTCTTCATCTGTAGTTCCATCATTGAGGTTTGAAGTAGATCCGTGGCCTATTTAAACCAATTTCAACGAAATTATTTTCATTGTTAATTCAATAACCAGCAAATTTAGTGTATATTGCATGAAGATAATAGACTTATACCTTGAAAATCAGTAGAGAGATAAGCATTTTCAAAAGCAGCACATAAGTTTTTCCTTGGTAAATTGTTAGCTTTGAGGTGTATTGTTTGGTTGGCATTGGTTAGGCATGACGTCCCCAAACCATATGGATTTGCTAGAAAAACAGTCTCACAATAGTTGGAATAAAGTTAAGGATTGCTATAAGAGTGGTAAAGAATAATGATCAGTTCTACTTCTTACATGAATTTCGTTGATTTGATGCTGTTTTTTGTGTCTCAAGCAGATTAGATATGTGATCTAGTGGAGTTGAACGGTGATTTAAATTTGTAATGTCTTGCAGTACATTGATATGACTGTTGACTGAACTCCTGGTTAAGTTTATCACTGAACCGGCTATTTTGAAATAAAATAGTCAGTATGAAACCACTGAGATTATAATACAGATGTTTCTAAACTGACAAATTAAACAGACACATCATAGTGAGGATTATTTCCTGAAGTATTTGTTTTTTGTGTTGCAGCTGCTGAATGGTGAAGAATGGGACCTGTCTCTCCAGCACGATTAGGGGTACCGTCAGTTAAATTTCTAATGTCTTGAAGAACATTGGTGCCTCTTTTTTTGACATTTAAGCAACCATGATTGTTGACTGAACTCCTGGATAAGTTTATCACTGAACCTGCTATTTTGAAATAAAATAGTCAGTATGAAACCACTGAGATTATAATACAGATGTTTCTAAACTGACAAATTAAACAGACACATCATAGTGAGGATTATTTCCTGAAGTAAATCTTTTTTGTGTTGCAGATTCTGAATGGTGAAGAATGGGACCTGTGTCTCCAGCACGAGTAGGGGTACAATCTAGGTTTGTAATATCTCTGAAAACTCTATTAAAAGCAGATGTTAGAGGCACAGAACCAATAGGAACCGAATGATTAGATCTTGTTGTTTGACTATGATTAGAAACTGAATCAGGAAGACGGGGTCTTTTAGGTGGTTTTGAATTAGAATCAGGATTAGAGAGCGGGTTTTTTTCTTTTGCTTTCATGGTTTTGATGAGAATGAAGGTGCTGTCATAGCATAATCAAACTGTTTGTGAGGAAGCGTATTTGGGAAAAGAAAAAGGGAGTAACACTGAAAATAGATTGCTTACTATGAACTGATTTTTAGGTCAGCAATCAATATTCATTTATACTTTTATTAAAACAGTTTCTAGACTCACCACATCGAGTGCTAATATCATGGGAATTTTTAGCTAATTATAATCCAATCAAATCTGTTATTATATTTCTTATGCAATTATTGCATTTATTAAAAATGCGGGACAAATCTTGGTAGTTCCTTTATTAAAAATGCGGGACAAAACTTCCTTTGCCTTCCAAGTATGATTACCAATACTAACTTCATATGTATCATATAACGTATAGCAAACAATCCATCTAGGCAGATAATATAATTAACATTTGAAGTTCCATTGAATATTATAGTAGACTGTATGAATATTCAGTTGTTTTTTTTGGTCACTAAAAACTGTTTTGAGTTACGTTGCCCCTACATTTTTTTTTCTTCTATTATGCAACATATGTATCAGTTAATATTTTGCGAGTTGATTTATTCCTTTCTCATTTTCAGATGGTTAAGCATATATCCCAATTGAGGCTATCAATTGTTAGGCGGAGCTAAAGGAGTACTATTAAGGTACATTATTTGCTTAAACTTTTATCTTACTACCAAGAATAAAGTAGTTGACGGTACATAGTATTGAGGGAAAGATATATTTTATTAAAACTCCAAGTACTTTATTTGAAAAATGGGAAAAAAAAGTGTATGAAAACAACACTTATTCAGGAATTTGTAACAACCAAAATAGTTTGCAAACTTGGAGATAGGGGCCTCCTAACATAATTAGAAGGTTTTATTTTTATCATACTACGACAACAGTAGTAAACCTACTTCTTCTCTACCTTGATCTTCACTCCAACCATAGCTTTGGCTCCATTGTTCTCAGTTTTGGGAACACCTTTTCCGGTAGTGACTTCGACCTTGTTCACATAATCTGCTTTTCTTTCAAAATCACCTTCAGTGTTAGCTTCATCAACAGGATCTTGTAGTTCATTGTCCTTGTTAAATTCAGGATTCACTTTATCCAAGTCGATTGGTTGAACACACAACTTCTTGGAAGTAGATGTTTGGTCCGCTGGCCCATCCTTAGAACCATAAACACGTTTGGAAGAAGGAGTAATTGAGTCTGGTGTATCCTGAATATTTTCCAGCATTAGAATACCCTGCACATGAACACTTTAATGTCAGACATATAATTCTAAAAATGTATGAGTATTATAAATAAAATGAACTATTACCTTTTCACCAGATTCAATAGAAGCTGCATTGCTCATTTCTGTAGAATACTCCAACAATTCTTCTTCAAGAAGGCCATGCTTCAATAAGGCTTTAGAAACCTTGTAGATTTCTTTCCCATCCCATATATTCTCTTTCTCAACACATAAGAGGAAAAGGAAAGTTTTCCCAATGAGATTTGTGAGAGGCTCTGGTAAATTTTCTGGATCCTCAATCTGAGGAATTAAAATTTATTGCTGGGGTTAGTAAGATGAGAAGATTTAATAGTAGAGTAAACGTTTAAAACATATAGGAGCTGACCTCATCAACAGAACCATCAAGTACTGCATGAGCGGACTGTCCTATGATCTCGGTGCAAATAGAGTCAAAAAGTAACAATTTGGCCTCGCCGGTAGTGTCCATGACATTAGCATAAAGCATAAACCTAGGAGAAATTAGAATGAGTATGCTCCAACCAAAAATTTGGTTAATTAGAATTAATATGTGTAAGATTTAAACATATCTCTCAAATTAGACAGAACAATGATATACCTGGCTACCACATTTGTGACAACACTTTTACATGTGTCACACCAGAACCTTGGTTTGACACCTTTGTTGTTCACACCATGCACACCAGAGTGGATGTGGTTAACTTTTTTATTGCAGGATCTACAGCTAATGTAGTACCATGCCCAGTCTGTATCAATCCCGTAAATTGTACATAGCAGCCTGACCCTTCCAACCTAGTAATGTCCCATAAATTCATGCGGTCTACTTAAGTTAATGTTCAGTAATAATAAATAGAGTCATATGTTCTACCTCTAGGGAATTCTTGATTTCCTCAATAGTTCTCCTTGGAAGTTCTTGGTGAGCGTCATTGTTAACCCTTACCAACTCCAATCTTGGACGCCTTTCACGGAAAACCAACACTAAACCATCCGGGGGTAGACTGCAATATGTCACTTGTTTTAATACAATTAAACGTTTTACTATATGTAATAAATATTAACTGAGTATAGAAAACTTTACGAATTTCTGAACAAATCGACTTCAGGGAAAGTAGGATTGACAAATACTTGAGTAGTGTCATATGAATTTGTTACACTCTTAACACATGTCATATTCATAGATTTGTATTAGATATTAGGCATAGATATAACTGAAAACATTTATAAATTAGGAAGATTAGGCCAAAATAAGTACCTTTGTAAGCTTTTATCTTCACAAAGCGTAGCACAACAACCACATTTGAGCCATCAGATTCTTCGCATGCACTATGAACCTGCTCCGCCAAAGTTCCCCACAGAGTACATGCAAGCCTCTCATCCCTGTCATCGATGGGAAAAAAATAGTTTTGGATGTAGTGAAATATGCATTATCACAATACTGAGCACCATATAAAGCTAACAAAAACATTTGAATGCTCACGTGTCGTCTCTTAGCTCGAAATCGATTTTGGTTGTTGGTTTGTTGTTTGCTTCGAGATTCTCTAGCTCTCCAATAGTAACTATTTGGCCAACAACATCTGCAACATAGATTATATCAGTTATATAAGGATCTGATAATTATGTGTATATATTAAGATGTTAAGTTTAATAAAGAAAACATGGACATACCAACCAACATATGTGGATTGAGCTCTCCACTCTGAATTTTTTGGTACTTTGCCAAAGACAGAAAATAAGATTCAGATTTCGGATCACAAGGCATTACCACAGTTCCGGTGATGAATGCCATCTTGTAAAGATGGCTGGTTGGTCTGAATTGACCGGTTGCGTAGCTGAGACTAAAATTCTCAATGAACATCCACTCGTCAACATGTAGCCTGTTGACATATTTGGGTACCAAATCCTTTTTCACGGTTGCATGGATTTTTTTCCCCTGTCATAAAGTGATTTGAACAGCAATTTAGTTTTCCCATCTTTAGTATATTTTTAAATTTTGGAACGTTTAATGAAAAAGTATAAAGTAATTACCAGTTCATCAGAGAGAACCATCTCTAACGTTTGGCCAGTGTTTTGTGTGAACGCTCTCCAGGAATGGAGCAACTTGACTTGTACTCGCCACGCTGTTTTGTATGGTCGAACGTCTTTCAGGAAGGCAAAGGTTGCAGCCATGGATGAGAAGGAAGGGATAGCAAGTATCAGTAAGGTGAATGTTTCTTAGTTGTTTTCGGGTGTATTTACCTCGGCGAGTCGCACCTATTTATAGTAGTCTGATGATTGAATGAGGTAGTTTTGATCTTATGTGAAGAATAAATTTGAGAATCAAAGAATTAGCGTAATTCCGGGTATATAGAAATCAGTATTTATTTTATGCGTTGATGTGATTTTCTAGTTTTGATATTAGATAATGACGATGAGCATCTATTATTTGAGTTGTTTAGCAATCAAGATATATTTTATGGAAATCATTTGCGAAATTTGTGCGTGAGAATCTCGTATTTCCAAATCAAGTATACGAAGATATGGGGGTGAGATACGCAGAGATATACGCAGAGAAATATTTTCTCCGGAAGTAATGGCGTGACAATGATTTGGGCTTGATTTAGTTGGGCTCGTTATTCATTTTTAGTGTTTTGTAATTGTTTTTGTAAATGTTTATTTTATAATTTTTAAATTAATAAATGCAGTGGCAGAAGATTGTAAATAAGTGAGCAAAGTGAGGGTTTTTTCAAAAATTGCTCCACAAATGTTAATATAGATATAAAAGAAAATATTGAGTGAAATTTATTACTTTTTAACTTTTTTTTTTTTGTTTTCTTGTCAACTACTTTTTTGTTTTTCTTTTTGTGACAGATTGAGTTAAAAAAGTTTAGATTTTTTTATTAAAACTTGAAAGTTAGAATAATTATATTTTGACTAAATTGAAAATTTTAATTAGGTATTAAGTCTATATTATTATTTGTTAAGTAACTTTTAAAGAATAAATTTTTTAGTTTGTAAGATATTACAAGGAATGTTATTAATTTAAAAATTTATTATAATTAAGTCTTAAATCTATATCATGAATTGTGAAGTGTTTTTTAAAGAGACACTTTTTAGTTAGTAAGATATTACAATGAATTTCATTGAATTAAAAATTGATAATTTTATTATAATTAAGTCTTAAATATAGAGAATTTTTGAGAAATACCAATTTTGGTGTATCCCTTTTTAAAAATACCCCTCTTTTCTATCCATTTTCAAAAATACACATTTTCAAATATGAAAAATTATAAACTTTTATATGGTTAATAAGGTATATCGAGATCATCATTACTACTGGGAGACTAAATCTAAATATTTATAAGGTTTTAAAAAAAACTAACGGCATTTATAATGTTTTATAAGGTTTTTAAAAGGTTTACACAGTTTTTATAAGGTTTTTAAATGATTTTTATAAGGTTTTTAAAAGGTATTTATACGGTATTTATGAAATATATAAATAAATTTACACACATATAAAGATAATTTGTGTCTATAAATATAAGTTTACACATATGTTTTTGATAAAATTCAAAATTTATAGTAACTTTTTGATAAAATTAGAAAGAGGGGTATTTTTAAAAAGTGGTATTGGAAAAGGGGTATTTTTGAAATTGCCCCTTAAATATATACAATTACGGATAATTCTATTAAATACCACTAAAATTAATATTTTCCAAAAATACCATGATGAGTTTTTTTTTTTAAAAAATACCAGTAAACTAAAAAATCTAGGTTATTTTTCAAAACTAATTAAAATATATTGATCATTCAAAATATATATCCGTTACAAACATGTATGATTAACCATAACCAACCCGTTGTTTTAACAGAGCTTCATGAACTAACCATACTCGCTAATGTTTTTGGATAATATTCAATACAAACTCATTAGAAAAATTAGTTACAAAAATAGCAAATTCATAATATAAATATGATATATTTGTAAAAAAAAAAATTTAAATACATTTGTATCATTTAGTAAATTAAAACATATTAATAATAGCTCTATAAATATCCTTTGTAGCCCGGTTTTAATTCTAGTTACTAAATATTTTAAAGTTTCAATTTATTTTAAACTTTTTAAAATTCAAAACTTATAATATTTTGAATATATTAGTTTTAATTAGGTAGAAATATATTAAAAAAAAATTAAATATGTTTATACATATATACAATTTCGAATTTTAATAGGCCAATGTTTATGGTAACAAATTTATTATGGTTTCCTTGAATATTGGTTAGTTATTTGTTTTGATTTTTTATGTATTTAAAGCATGGAAAAAATATTTTGTTGTCATTAAATCTGTTTGGCTACAAGTTTGACATCACATTTTATTTCATTTTTTTTATTTAATCAGTTTGGTTAAAAAGACAAAAAATGCTCACTTTTAGTAGAATTGATTAATTCATTTTTTCAGTTTTTTCGCACATATTACAAAAAAAAAAATGATTATAAATATACAATTTTTTTTAAGTTTTTTTCCATAATTCTAGGATGACTTAAGTATCAAATTGGTTTGGTTTGATTTAGGAAAAAGAGTTTAGAGAAAACACGAGAACGGTTCAGTTAGTATTAAACCGGTTCAATCGCCTACTTTGAAAGATTGATCAGAGGGCCAAAAATCAAAGTCAACGGACTCTTCCCAGCCTTGGCTACCTGCGCTCCTAACTCTGTTTACTTGTTTAAACCGAGATCAAACCAAACCGGTTTTATAAGATTTATTTTTAAGGATTGCCCATTGATGATGCTCTTACTTGTTAGGAAAGTAGTGTTTGCAGATTATAACAGATGGTCTATAAAAAAAGGAAAATTATATATTTTAGAAATAATTCCACATTTTATATCTTTATAGATTCTACTGAAATATAACAAAACCATTTATATTAGAGAAATACTTTTAGATATCATCTCTTAAGTTTTTTTTTCAAAAGTACTCGATTTGTTTTTTCCAAAAATATTACAAATATTTTATTTTTCCAAAAATACTATAAACATAAAAAATAAATTTTTAAGATATATATATATATATTTTTTATTTAATATAAGAAAATACCATAAACATAAAAAAATTGATTATTTATATTTAAAATATAGTTTTTGAGGTAAAGTTTAATATTTAAAACTAGAAATTAGTTTTAAATGTTTAAAACTTCAATTTTAGTTTTGTGCTAGTTTCGAAAAATTAAACTTTTTTTTTTTTTAACTCTTGAACTCATATATTAATAATGCAACGGGAACGTCTGAAAAAACAGAGCAACAGAAACAGAGTACAACTTTAAACAGCTAGAAGACGAGCCTAACAAGGCAAAAACGCTAACCCCAACCATCGAAAAATTAAACTTTATAATGAAATTTTCAGAAAAAAAAATTACCAGTAAAAATCGGTATTTAAGAGAAATCTCGTTATATTATTCATCATGTCTATACTAGAAAACACTAGAACAACAACAAAAGGCAAAAATAAAACACTTGTGTTATCACCTCTACACTAGAGGCTCTACTAGAAACAATAAGAAGGCTTCATATACAACATTAAATACAAAACTTGATACAAAATCTTAAACCGACAAATATTGGTGAACCCTTACGAACTAATAAAACCCAAAAAATGTTCTTCTTCTTCGTCGGTGGATTAGGGCAACAAGTGAGGCAAGTACTAAAATCCAGCGCTGGAACATGCATAAGATGCGGCTCTGAAGCTGATCTGGTCGATTACGACAAAGTCTTGAAACTCTTCTTCGTTCCTGTCTGGAGATGGCCTGGTCAAGATCCTCTGCTTCACTGTAAAGCCTGCGATCTTTTCTTCCCTCAGACTCTTTCTTCACCTCCACCAGTTTCTTCTTTAGCTACTTGCCGCTTCTGTGATCGTGCTGTGGAGCCTGAGTTCCGTTTCTGCCCCTTTTGTGGCTCTTCTCTGTAAACTTTGTTCTGCTTCAAGAACTTGTACTTATCTACAAGATGTCTTAGTTACTTTGAGTTATATTCTGTTCTACAAGATGTCTTAGTTAGTTTGAGTTGTGTTCTGTTCTTTAGTATGTGTAAGTAAATGGTTCTTGGAAGGTATGGGTTTAGTGGGGAAAATCTTGATATTCAATTTCTGATGATGAGTGAACTGTACAATGGGAAAAATGAATAACAATATATCTCCTTTGGATTTACAGTGGACGATGTTTTTTATCTACGCAAAAGTTTCTTTGTTTTCATCAACTTCTTCTAGATGAATCCAAAAACTCCGGATAGTTACTTGGTCAAGCTTCTCCGCGGCGAGAACGAACCAGAATAACCCCTAAACTTTTTCTTGAAAGGTTTGCTGGTGAATGTGAGTTGAGTTGCTAAAACTTTCTTTCAGTAACAGTTAGCCGGAGAATGGTAGTTTTTCGTCGCCACGATCTACTGCGTTCCTCCATAGTCTATACCGAACTCCAAGCTTGTCGTAAGCAACTGGTAAGTTCCATATGTTTGCACCATTCAACATCCGTTCTTGTTGTCCTAAAACCAGCCGTAGATCTTCGTTTAAGACCTGTGAACAGAGGGAAACAACGGTTTGAGATACAAGACTGCGATGATGGTATCGAGATCATTGATTCATTTGTGCGCTGTTCTTTTACCTGTTCAGCGAAATGTCTCCAGAGATGTTCCATGAATGGAAGATTTTTCAATATAGGAGCAAAGTCTAGTGACATTCGGTATAGAAGTCTTGTTTTGTTTTTGGAAGAAGGTAAACAGACATGGAGTTGATGAAGATGTGTTGCACATTGCTTTGTGCTTTTTCCTTCTAGTTTCCCGGGTTTGGAGATCCCGATTGTTGATAGCACTATACAAGGCGGTTTAAATTCCATATCGATTGGGTATGGATCCCAGTACCCTTGGAGACCCGAGGAAGGCGTTAAGAACTTCACCAAACTACAGGAGCAGAAACAAGAATCTTAAAATGAGTATAGTTAAAACAGATTCATCTCAATGCTGAACAGAGGTAATGAGAGTAAAACAAACCTTGGGACACTCCAGCCTTTTGCAAAAGTGGATGTGTGAGTGAATGGGGCATGCGCAAGATCCAATAGATTATCTAGAAGCAACCCGTGTTCCACCGGAAGGTCCATTACAAGCTGAGATTTCATCAGAGACAACAAATGAGAAAATGATGCATACATATGAAATGATTGGATTAGAGATATGCTTGAAATGTAAGAATTACCTCAGCATGGATTACAAATCCTGATGGAGGTTGTAAAGAAGGAAGTGTAGGTGCAGGTGGATCACTACCAGGCCAGATCCATATCATACCTTCTTGTTCAAGACAAGGCAATGACTTGATCTTCACCTTAAGTAACTTTGTAGATGGCATCTTCTTACATTCTCCATCAGTTGAGTATTCCCATCCTACAAGGTCACATCTAATAAGATACTAGATGTGGTTTTTCACTTTGTTGTCAACATGTGTAGAGAATGAGTTACTAACCATGGTAAGGACATTGAATACGCCCTTCGTTCACTGTGCCAAGATCAAGAGGACACGCTCTATGCGCACATGTATTCCGTACACATCCTGGTTTCCCGTCTTCACCTCTAAAGATAACCCATGGTTGCTCAAAGCATTCAATTGGCACCTTGATACATAAACATTAGCATCTCTTAGAAGCTTGTAAAATAAAGAGAGACAGAGAAATCAGGCAAGAATTGGTATTATACCATAGTGTCATGCTTGAGATCTGCAGTGAAAGCGACAGGATACCAAAAATTCTTCAAGTGTGGACTATAAGGCGGAACCGGACCAGAAACATTCAAGCTTTTCGCACCCATGTTTGTCTTTTCCCTGTCTAACTCGATAGTAGAAGTAGAGGTTGAAGACGAGGGTTTATCTAAATCGGTTACAACTCTGCCGGGTAACAACCTATCATTTACCAGTTCTTCCATGTGAGCTAACTTGTCTAAAGCAGTTGAAACTCTTGCTTCAGAGATATGAACCTGTTTCAATATTACTAAAGAGTCAGAATAAGATTGAAGCTGAACCCAAAAACCTAATTTTCAGATAGTAGCATCGTTAAGAACCTGTTGGTGAGCTTTAGATAGTTCTTCCTGCAATCCAGCTAGTTCTTTCTTCACAGTACCAATTGACTTGTACTCACGAGCTAGGGGATTAAGTACATCAACGACCTGATATAAATTCATTCCACTAACTTAGTATCATAACAAAACCGACACTAGACACAGACATGTGAATACTGAACACTAATCAGCTCAATACAACCACTGAACTGATAAGCTTTTAAGAACTTGAGCTACTCTTAGCTGTATGTCTACTGTATCTAGCCTAGGGCTAAATGTAGCAGACAACACCTACTTCATAGCTCTGCTCTTATCATAATCTTAAGAACGAAACTTTATTAACAAGTTAGACTTAAAGAAGCTCAAAGAGGTCAATGTAGATGAAGTCTAAGGAAGAAACAAACCTTGTCATGAAGAATCATAATGGTAAGAAGATCTTGACGAGCACGCCAATCCAAGTATTGAATATCGAATCTAGCAACTTCAATAGCTTGATTAACATCCAAGAACTTGCCTTTATAAGGAGGAGCTTTTGATCTAGGATCCTCTACATCAAACAAAGGTCTCCATTGACTCTTCTTCTCAACTAATCCACTCTCATCACCAAACACAGCAAAAACCCTGAACTCTCCTTTCACTCCCTGTATAACACCAAACCAAATCAATCACTAAACCATTCAAAAATCAAACCTTTTCTATCAAAACAATCCCTCTACTAACAAATTTCGCACAACCCAAATCCCAAAATTTCAAAACACTCCCTGTAACCAACCAAACAATCACTCAACCATTCAAAAAATCAAACCTTTACTATCAAAAAACAAAACCCAATTCCCAAAACTGAGCCTTTGACACTGATCTCACAATTTCGAAGCTAAAGATTCAAGCTTGACACTGATTTCACAACCCTAAATTGAAGTAGATGAGTAAAGTTAAAGTTACCTTCTTTCTAGAGAGACAAGATGATCTAGTTTTAGAGAAAGAGAGAGGAAGAGACAAAGCAGAAGCACTAAACACGGCGGCGTTCATGGCGTCACCGGAAAAAGAGAAGAAGGAAGGAAGAAGAAGACAATAGGATTAGAGAGAAACGTTCTAAGAGATTTTATCTTTTATTTAATTGAGATTTTTTTCTGATGATAAGAGTTTGGATTTTGCCCGCGATCTGAGAATGCCTTCGGAGAGATGACACGTGGATAAGTAATTGTATACGTGGCAGTATTAATATCCACATGATGGTGAAGAGGGATTTGCCAGCTCGGATTCTCTAAGATAGCTTTGCCTTTTGTGAATTTTCTTGCATGGTTTTGTCTTTTTCCTGGTTTGGTTTTCCATCACTAGTTTTTTTTTTTTTTGAATTAGTCAAAATAAAAAAACTGTATGTTTTTTTTTTTTTTTGTTGGCTACCAATAATATATTTATATTGATGTCTTGTTACGACAAAAATGTTTGAAGAAAAGTTCAGAGAAATTGTTTTCCCAACGTTACTTATTCAAATGCTTTTGGTTTAAATTATGTACATGGCTGTAGTATGACAATCATTTACCATTTAATGAGTATTTATTTATATTTTGTTATTACAAAAAGACTATGATGAAAGAAGTATGAAATTGGGTTAATTTAATTTCAAAGAAAAATCAAAAGCATATAGCGTTTTCATATATCTATCAGCCAACATAAATCGTCACTCAACGCATTAAATCGTTATTGAATTGATATATAGATTAGATCAAGCTTTTTAAGATGATTTCGATTTCACACAATTCGCACAAATCGGTTTATCAAACAATACTATTTTTAACTATTTTCTCGTTTATAAATCAGTGATAATTATAGGTCTAAATCAAAATTTACATACAAAAATTGATCGTTCAAATATGTGATTAAATTTTTTTGAGTTCTGTATACATTATCAACTTATTATATATATACTATTTCCATCAAAAAACATGTGTAGTTAGATTCTCTTTGATTTGGAATTCGTGGCAAATCTGTAGAGAAGGTAATAAACTATAGTGTTTTCATAAAGTGCCAAAACCGACAGATAATATCGATAACATAAACGAATGAATAGAAAAGATATACTAATATAAATATGTTTTAAGAAAGAATAAAATATTTAAACTAGTGAACTTTATACAAAACTGAGTTTCATTTCAAATCCTAGGTATTGTTGATACCTTTTTGTATTATTTTTAGTTACTTTTTTATATTACATTTGGAAAATTATGTGAAACCCATAAAATAAACTAAAATCATAGTATAATTTGTTTTGTGCTGACATAATTTCCAGAATCATGTTTTCTAAACATGATCTTCGATATGTTGAAAAAAAGATTATAACATATTATTTGAAAAGTTATAAAAGAACAAAAAATACTGATAAAACTATATAGTTTCATTATAATTTGTTTAATTAATGTTTTTGACCCTTTTCACTAAACTCTAATTTTTGTACATATAATTATCTTGAAGTTGAGAAAATAACCAGATTATTTATATTTCCATTTTTGGTCATATACTTGGTCGAAAATAAAAATTGTTAATCACAACATTAAAAAATTGGCTAAAACAAGTATAAGACCAAAATCATCAACAATTTCACTAAGCAATCTATAAGTACTACAATATCCGTGTTTTTTAAATGATATCAAGTATATCTTATTATATAAAGCTTGGTTTTCAAAGTTAGTAACTCATGTGATCGTGACACATGGCAATTTTAACGATTAGAAATTTTGTCATGTGTAAAACAAAATTTTTGTTTACAATAAATTAATAATATTAAAAAGTAACAATAAGAAAATTATATATATTTTAGAAAAGCTTAAAAACTTTAAAAGATCATTATAATCTTATCATATATACAAAATCTTAGCGGATAAATTAGCACATACCTCTTGTACGTTAACAATGTTCCCCGATTTAGGTGACTAAACCTTTTTTATTAATATGTTGATAAAACAATGCATCTTTTAATGTATGAGAAAATATCTAGTGCTAACTTTTATCGAAACCCAAATAAAATTTAAATTTTATATCCAGTTAGTATAAATAATGTTAATTTCACTTTGCGTTAATATATATCGACTCAAAAAACGCGTATGAGAGTGAGATGGCATTGTCTACTAGAAACAATGTCGTTTTAATGTCGTTTGTGAAGAAAAGTAGTTTACGTAGTTGATACTTCTATAGAGATATTACACTAATGACTAAACTAGCTTAAGTATGCAATTCATAGTTACAACATATTAATTGTTTATTTATTCATGTATTTAGAAATATACACGTACATACACACATTTATAACAGTATATACGCTTCCTTTTAACACTGAATTATCACATTTGTAAAATATGATTTACGGTTCCAAGAATGTGGAAGAAAATAGTCACTTGATGAGAATACATCTCGTTGGTGCTCCTTCTGCTCCAACCAATCTCATCGGTAAGCAATGAAGCGAGTACATGCCTACCTCCACATCATCTAGCTTCAACGATTCCACTGGGATTATATCCTGATATCATCATATCTAAGATGTGTTACATTCAACTTCATGCCTTGTCTCACTTTACACATACTTAATTAATCAATTAATGAAATCATATATATCTCACTTTCTTGTTTAGAGAATTAGCTATATGTTACATCCACACAATGAAAATTTTCAAGAAACAAAAGCAATGTTTACGTACTTGTTTTAATTAAACAAGAAAACATGGTGATTTCCTACAAAAAACTACAAGAGTTTTATTATTCTAAAAATACCATAAACATAAAAAAACTGAATTTTGAAGATGTAAATTTTTTGTTTTTTATGTTTGGGTTGACTACTTACATTTAGGGTATAGTTTTTAAGGTTAGGTTTAGTGTTTAGGATTTAGAAATTAGTTTGGAATGTTAAAAATTTAAGTTTTCGTTTTGTAGTATTTTTAGAAAAAAATACGTATTTTAGTGGTATTTAAAAGAATTCCATTATTTCTATAAAGTACTCACCCGTTGTTCAAGTATAACCTTGTGTGCCTCAGGTGCTTCATCATAAGCAGCAAATGAAAGATAGTCAAGTCCTGTATTGGACAAAGTAGTATAAGTACCAGTTTAAGTAAAAAATGTTCACACGATTACCATAACGGAGTAAGCAACATATATAATCAATCTCTTACCAACAAGTTTGATATCTGTATTTTCAACCAACCATTTCACCCCATCGGTCAAGAACCCAACAAAGCTTGAATCAAATTCTTTCTTATACATAAGCCTCCTGATATATAGAGTAAGCTTTGTTCGTTCTTATAGTCTTTGCAACGAGTTCAAGATTTTTTGTAATATAATTATGTTCATATTTTGAGACTTACCTATCAGTATTCAATGTTTTGAATAGCACACGACGAACTCCCTTTGGGATTCTAAGTGATTCCATTACTTCAGCTATATATAATGAAGCAAGCAAAAAAAACACATTAGATAAAGATCTATATTACATTCTTTATTTTTTAAAGTAAAAATTCTCTAATATCAACTCACCAGTTATGTTTTTATCTCTTGGAACATCAACCAACAAAGCAGGACCTAAAGAAAAAGTTAAAAAAAAAAAAAAAACAATTTCATAAAATGATCACTATTAGAACCGGAACCGAACCGAACCACATATATATATCCAATAGGTACCAGAAAATATTAGAAATACAAGTATATACTTAAAATACTAGTTATATTTATACTTCTAATAACTCAAAATATCCAAAATTACAATTATAAATCCGAATATATTAGACATCTTTGGGTAATTTGGATATATCTGGATTAAATGACAAATATTTTAGTTTTTTTTAGCGATATTTTGAGTGTTATCTGATAAATTAGAGTTAAAAGTATCCAGTGGGTTAGTTTGTTTTCCAAGTAGTTCTGATATTATCGAGTAATTCAAGTAGATTTGGGTAAAATATAACCAACCCAAACCATACCCATTTGGTTCTTAACCGGTTCTCTGATAATAATCTAAACTGACCCAAACCTAGAAAATAGCAAACCAAATTTTTACAATTTCAGAATGGTTCATAAACTACCAAAAATTCCAAAATCCGAAATACCCGAACCGATACCCAAATTGCCTAACCACTACCAAATAAAAAAGTTCCAAAAAATCTTACCGTTAAGGGTTTGAAGATCAAGTGAATCAGTATCAAAACCAGAATCAAAATACTGATCATGGAAATGGCCAGGAGCATCAACATGAGTTCCAGAGTGAACAGATAGTTTCATCTCCGAGATATTAGCTTCTGACCCATTCTTCATACTCACAGCAAGTCTCATAAACTCTCCTAATCCTTTTGAAGACTCCCAAACCGGCATCTCCGGGGTGTACCGATGGCTAATGTCGAATATTTTCATTTCTCCGGTATAAACTTCGCGGTGGCTCGGTTTAACATCGTCTAGGTGTTTCATTGCGACCCCAAAGGTAGTGGGGAGTGAAGGGAAAGCTTCATTAATGGCGAAGGTAGTCAAATATAAAGAGAATGAGAGTGTAGTGACGATAATGAAGAGATGGCAATTTACAGGTTGGGTCATTGTTCACGGTCGTGGGTGTCACTAACCTATGGTTTGGTTATGTTATATAATATATGTATATAGTGACAATTAACAAATTGAGTTTTGAGTTTGGGGGAAACTGTTTGTCTTAGAGTAGAAGTATCTAAAATCAATGAACCATTTGGATCACTAATATATATATTGTATCCAGCCTAATCACATGATTCATTTTGTCTTGTGAGGAGATCTTTAACGAACCCAAGAACAATACTTTGACATATACCTACTTTTACTTAGGCAGAAGCTACGAACTTGTGGACGTATGATAGTAATCTCTATGAACGTTTCTATTCATACAACTTTTTTTTTTTTCTCCATTTTTTGAATTTCTCAAAAAATGTAGCTCATGTGAAAGATATGTTAGGGACAAATATAATATTGGTATAATTGAAACCAACCAATCTACAAATTATTTTTCTCCTATTTTTTATTTATTATTAGTATGAAAATTAAGACGTCTGGTTTTAGAAGATGAAATATGTACAATTCTATAAATTATCATTTGTAGAATAGGTTAATATTTAGTCATTATCATTTAGCACATATTCATTTGAATAGTTTTATATACATATATAGTGCGTTAACTAATGTAAACAACCATACTCTACTCTCCTAACTGAACTTTTTCATGTCGGTGACGGGAGCAAACTCTGATCAGACTATTACAATCATATTTTCATCCGTAGAAATAGAAAGTAATGCCAAAGATGCTGTAAAGGGCGTTATGGCAGCAGGTTCGCAGCTATTCCTGGGCACAAAAACCGTAACCGAAAAACCGAACCGGAACTGACCCGAAAATAACCCGTTTGGTTTGGATTCGGTTATTATCTAAATAATTGATGGATATTGTTTTCTAGCAGTGGATATCGGATCGAATCCAGGTATTATCCGAGCACGGAATGGGTATCCGTTTACCCGGATTTAGAGTAAACCTAATCTACTTTTATCTTTCATTTGTTTTTATTTTTGGGCATTTTGCTTCATTTTTTATACAAACAGATCCATTTTACCTAAACCAAATAGATATCCAAGTATTTTGGATATAATACGGTTCCAAAACTATAGAACCGAACCGATTCAGAATCGAGAGGATCCGAACCAATATCCGAACCGAAACTTCTTGAATTTTAAATGGATAAAAATTTCTTATACCTAAAAGATCCGGAACCATTCGATTTTTACCCAGAACCAACCCGAATACCCATATGCCCAGGGCTATGAAATATACCTTTTATGCATTGGTTATGATTTGAGAAGCTACGTAGCTATTCGAGAACCTAGCATTTTGGGCGGACGCTAACAAGCTGGTCTTGTATCTCACGCAATTCATGCACATGTCGACCACCAGATCATACATCCAATGAAGTTAATGTTTGTATATTTACTGGCTAGTATTTGCAATGAGCGTGGTTAACTTTTTTGGTTTTTTTTTTTCTTTTTATATCATTAGTTATTAAATATATTTATTTTTATTGATTTCGTTCATAAATAAAAGAAGTTTAAGATTAAAAGGATTACTTTGGAAATAAAATAGTGCAATCTATTTATCGAAGAAAAAATAGAGTTCTTCTATATATAGAGATAAAAAAATAGCAATCTCTATAATAGAGGTGTATATAGAGGCAGGCGGGAGCAAAATTTGCTATATAAAAGAATTTAGAAACAAAATGGGAGTGGGTTGGAGATGCTCTTATAAGCTATTTGACTATCATTAACGAATAATGAATATATGTTTTCATGCTAAGTGTAATATTATTTTTTCTAATATCCTTCTCTATCCTTTCAAACAATGGCAGATCTAAAACGAATTTTTATTAGGTGAAAATTTTAATAAATATTAATATATTAAATCATATATATATTAAGAAAATAAATTTAGATTCATATATATATATATTACTTTTAGTAGGATTATTTATTGAAATTGTGGTGTAATCTATCATAAATAACAAGAAAATTGTAATTTTTTTTAATAATAAGTGTTATGCGAATCTTATGCAAAGCTTATGCAAAACATATGTAATATTATGCAAAGAAAACAATCTTTATTAATAATAAGTACTTAGGCTCTAGTTTCCTGTTAACATTCTTATTTACTCATCTCTCAAGTTCATATGTAACTAATGTGTTATGTATTCACATAAGTCATGATTTTTTGAACACGTTAAATTCTATGTGTCTTTTAATTATCCTTTTTTTTGCTTTTTGTTTACACACGAGTGATCGAAAGAGTAAGAAGTCAATAACCAGTCATATGTACATGATGAGTGACTCCAAAACAAAACATTCCCAAACATTCACATGCAGTTCAAGGTTAAACCTTACAAGAGAGTCGTCCAAGAACCTTCTAATTATCGTTGATGAATGCTGAAGTGAATGTTTAATGTTTTGAGATAGATGTAGGCAGAGCCGTCGCTAATATTAAATGGGCTACAAGCGAAAAATATACTCAGCATTAAATATTAAATATTTACTTCAACATTCATATATATATATATGTAAATCAAATTTTATTAGGTGAAAAATTGATAAATATTAATATATTGAATCATATATATATATTAAGAAAATAAATTTAGATTTAAAAAAATATATATATATATATATATATATATATATATAACTTTTACTAGGATTATTTATTGAAATTGTGGTATAATTTACCATAAATAACAATAAAATTGTAAATGTTTTTAATAATAAGTATTATGCAAAACTTATGCAAAGCATATCTATATTAACATTTTTTGCATAATTTTTTGAAAATAAACATTGGAGTTGGAAGTTATCTACAAGGCTATGCCATTGGCATTAATTATTTAGTTAAAAGTTTGAAAACTAATAATAATCATTTTCAAAAAAATCCCTAAAATCCTTAAAAACGCGGGTTAAAATTTATATTTTTACGTATGAAGTAAAAATATTGCATCTGTTAAAATTTTGAAAATCATAACATTAAGAAGAAAAAAATTAATCAATATTAATTGAATATCATATTTTCTAATATAGATTAGAGCCCGTCTAGGGTTATTTATTTGGGGGAATTTCAAAAATACCCCTTTTCATATACCTCTTTTTAAAAATACCCCCTTTTCAAACTTTATCAAAAAACCCACTAAAAATGTTGAAATTTATCCAAATATGTGTGTAAGCTTATAAATATATACACAAATTACCTTTATATGTGTCTAAAACTTTATACACCTTTCATATATAGCGTAAAAATAAATTATAAAAACCTTATAAAACCGTATAAACCCTTTTAAAAACCTTTTAAAAACCTTATAAAACTTATAAAAACAATTTAAAACTATTTAAAACATTTTAAAATATTTGTACCGAAAATAAAATTAAAACTAAAATTCTATTGTAAGAATGTTATATCAAAAGTATTTCAAAAAAGATAATTTTTTAAGTTAGTAAATTGTTTTTTGTTGAAAAAAGTTATTTATCTATCATACATATTTAAAAATCGTTATTAAACATTCATTTAAAAATACAGTAAATTTAAATTATTGATCACCAAAAGAATTGTTAGTTATTCACCATTACTCATAATATTAATATTGCCAAATTTTTCAAATAACTTCATTTAGATATTATACCCTAAACATGATTATACCATTATCCTAAAAAATGTTATTTCCTAACTTCCAATTTTTTTAAAAAAACTATTCTCGCATAGTTTTTTACTTTTCAATTTATTGTCTTTCTTAAACTTAATTAATTATTACAAAATTTGATGGTAAAATTCTTACAAATTAACATCAATCCAATAAAATGAGTTATAAGGTCGTTGAGATAAGCATTAACAAATTATTTTAGATATAAAAGTATAAAAAATTACATATTTCAAAAAATAATATAATCATTATACTGTACTACTAATTATATTGACTTTTGTTATCCTTACTTTAAGTTAATAATGTTTCTTGTTTTAGTTGTTTTTTATTTACCCCTCTTGTTTTAGCCAATAAGATTGCACTATGAAATATTACATTTAAATAAAATTAAAAATTGTAACATATTAAAATAAAAGTAAAAATATTTAATAAACACATTTATTTTGTTAAACCCATAATCTCGTTAAATTGTACCATCTAAATCTTAATTCTCTTTTATAAATTGAAACAGATAAATAACCTTGTATAAATTGTGTAATCTAAACTTCACTCTTTATTTATAACCTAAATCGACATAAAACTTTGTTTAATTATAAAATCTAAAACATAATCCTCAGTTATAAATCCGGGCAACCATATAACATGTTTAGTTGTAAAAACTAAACTTTAATCCTATTTTATAAATTAAAATCGACAAATAATCTCGTTTAGTTGTAAATACTAAACCTTATTCTCTGTGATTACGCAAACCGACATAACCAAAATTAGGTTAATAAGTCATAAAAATAACCAGTTTTTTTAACGTTTTCAGTTTTTAAATATGCATCATATTCATTTTTATATAGGATGTTGAAATGTAACAATTGAGGTTATTAATATACATCTGAATTTATGTATATAATTTGTATAAGTGAATTTATCTATAATATTTGTAATTTATAGTCAAATTTCTCTTTTTCTAAATATAATATTCATTTTCAAACTACTGTATAACTTATAATATTTAAAATATTAGTCTTATTTTTGTAAAACTGTGTCAATTCATATTTTTTAAAAAGTCGAAAATGTAACGCCCGTGTTCTGGAAAATAATATGAGACTGAGTGTGTATAAGAATTAGGGTGGAGTCGGTTTAATTCCGGTGGATTTCCTAAACTGGTCGATTTGTTTAATTGAATCAAAGGAGGTTTAATTAATATCGGTTTAGGTAAATCATGGTTTAATCATAATTAAACCAAAAACCCTAACTTTTATAAGGAGCGCTTCTTCTCTCTTTTGTTTTGTGGCTGTTGTTTCTGAGAGTTGAGTTGAGAAAAGGAGAAAGAGAAGTTCACTTGTGAGAAGGAGAGTGTTAGCTTTGCTTTGGTGTTTAAGGCAAGACGCTTCTTCTCTGTTGCGAACTGGGATC